ACCCGGCATTTGGCCATATTAAACCTCAAACCACACACTGCAGTGGAGACCTGGCCTTCTACACTGGTTTCATTGCTGTCCCCAAGCTGAGACCACACACTCCCCTAAATCTGGACCCACTCCTCCCCTTCTCCCCCTCACAGCTTTCCTGGGTGTTCTGGCTCAGCAGAAAGGCTCCATGCTGGCAGGGCCTTACCCAGGAGTATGGTCTGCTCTTTGTCATCAGAGTGATCCGGCAGCTCCTCTCCCTCCCCGTCCTCTGGCTCGCTGCTGTCATCAACCAAGGTGACATCCACGGAGGCACCGGCATCCACGGCCACCGTCAGCTCTGCATCAAGAGCGGCGTCATCGCGCTCCTCTTCGTCGCGCTCCTCGTCCTCCTCCTCCGAGTCCTCGCTCTGTTTCAGGTCCTGGCTGCTGTCCATCGACTTCAAGCTGCTCTTGTCCTTCTGAGAGTCCCCGTCCGCAGGTCTGTCCTCTCCCAGGGACACTTCGCTGGCGCTGCTCTTGTCGCTGAGCCGCCCGAGGCTGAGTGACTCCTGCTCCTGAGGCTGCAGCGACTCCCCGACGTAGAGGCCGCTCTGGAAGTCCTCACTCTCAGGCAGGTAGGCCTGGTCGTGGAAGCTGACACCAGAGGTGTAGTCGAGGAGGTCGAGCGCAGCAGAACCGTGCTCCACGTCCATTTTCATCTCCTCCCCAAACACGCACGACACCGGGCTTTCCCCTCCGCTTTCGTCATCCTCGGCCGTGCCCAGGAGGGATTTGCTCTCCTCCCGCGAGCTCTCGACGCCAACGAGGATCTGCAGGATGTGCGGCAGCAGGTTGAGGAGGAAGGGCTGCAGCCCCAGGCGCACGATCAGCTGCGCCACAAAGCAGTCCGTGTAGAGGTAGAACCTGCCGTGGCGGTAGCAGGGGGTCTCGTACGCCCCGATCAATGGCTTCAGCAAGTATTTATTGGCGTTCTTCGGACCGAGGGATTTAGCTATGGGCTCAAAGAGATACCACGCTGCGTAGACAGCGGTGTTCTCCTCGGACATCAGGGATAATATGAAGGGCAGAAGAATCTCCAAGCCTTCGGGAGTGATTTCGGAAAGGATCCCCTCCAGCTGCTGCCACAGCTGGAAAACAAGTTCCCGGCCCTGACCTTCATCCTCTATCTTCTCTGCCTGATAGGTGAAAATGAACTTGTGCAGGGCTGGGAAGTAGGTGGGGAAGGGGACGATGGAGCTGAAGGGACTGAGGAGCTGCGTGGGACAGGGCGGGGGGAGGCCCTGGGAGATGGGTTCGTATTCAAACAACTGCGGCGCGCCCTTGCCCGGCCTGGTCTTCAGGAGCTTCTCCACTGGCACGCTGAGCTGCAGCAGGACGTGCAGCACGTGCTGCAGCGGGGCCGGGATCTCCTTGGGATGGTAGCGACACAGATTACGCACCATCAGGAACCGCTCCAACAGGGACGCGTCAGGCTTCGAAGGACGAATCCTTGATGCAAAGATAATCTCGGCTACCAGAATGCCCAAAGCTTGCATGTCCCTCTGGAAGAGGTCCGAGACACCCAGGGGTGGCTCTTTCCACCGCTGCTCCATCAGCTGCATCTCACCGCTTAAGCCTTTCACCAAGAAATTGTCCAATTTCTCCAGTTCTTCCAGGGCCTGGAGCGGATTGAAGCCTTCGGGAAGCGTGACCTTCACATCGGCCTGATCCGCAGCGCCTGCCTTGCTGCGACGGAGAGGTCGGACTCCTGAGGTTTTGCCTTCGGTGGTGTAAGCGGGGAGGGCTGAGGGCTGCGCTGGAGGCACAGCGGCACAGGGCTGCTCAGCAGCTCTGCCAGTAGCAGAAATCGAATCCAGGGCCTCCGTGCCTTGCTCTAAATCATCCTCCCCAGCGAGGGGTTTCTCCTCAGACCAGGTGGTTTCACTGGGGGTAGCCTCCAGGACCAGCCCGTTAACGGCATCCATCACCTGGCCCTGGATGTCCTCCACCAACGCGGCCTCTCGGATGTTCTGGAGGAGAGGCCGGGCGATGGCTGGAGCTTCAGCAGGCGTGTAGGCAGGTCCCCCCACGCGCCTGGGGTGCGGCTGGTCGAAGAGCTGCACCACCCCGTAGGTCGTCAGATGCGTGTGGTTGTCTACGAGATGCAGGCAGACGTTCTTCTCCTTGACGGCATCCTTCCCCAGCAGCTTGTACCCAAAAGTGAGGTCAATCCAGTGGTGGAGGTCCTGAGAAACTTCCCGGCTCTCAAGCAGCATGCGGTGGACTTCGATGAACTCCTCATAGGAGCTACACCAAGATGGCACATCCAGGTTGGGCATGTCCGGATGGATGGACCGGAAGATGGAAGGGTCTGTATAAAATTCGGGGATGCACTCATCCGGGGTCCAGCTCTGCATGCGCTCCATGCTGGCTGGATACTCGTTGGGCTCCCACTGGGACCTCACATGGCAGCACAGCACTGCCCTGGGTGTCCTCCGAGCCGTGTACACGTAGTAGGTGATATCCGAAAGGACATCGGAGATGTGATGGGGGACGTGGAGCTGCTCCCCGCTGGACCCACCGGCAACAAACGCCTGCTTGGTCATCTCGTAGGTGAAGTCCAGCTGCTTGTCTCCTTTGTTGAGACGGAATTTGGATTTCCTCAGGTCCCTGAACTTGCCGTTTTTGGTAGTGAAGTCCACCACCCACGGAAGAACCGGGTGATAATTGGGGTCTCCCATTCTCCTCCCAGCCAAACTGTTTAGACGCATCAAGTAGTCAAAGTTGCTGACCTGCCCGTGCACCCACCGTAACACCAGGTCTCGGAGGTCCTTCTGGCAGGCGCTGCACCTCCTCTCCTGCCCTCTGGTACCGGTGCTGCTTTGCTCGCTCGTTCGTTCCAAACCGGCCTCCAGATTCACTTCCTCCTCCTCAGGTCCCTCGTACTCTCCAAGGCTCACGCGGAGCCGGCTGCACAGCTTCTCATCCACCGCCACATCCCGAAGGGAAAAGGCGCCGCAAGCCAGGCCCGCCTGGTGACAAGCCCTCATGGCCTGCAGCACGTGGAAGAGGAGGAAGAGGATTTTGGCGTGGCTGTTGGTGAGCTTGGCCGGGCTGAAAGTCACGATGTCGTGCAGACAGAACTGCACGTACGGGTAGACGACGTACAGCATGCCGGGCGACTCGAGCAGAGCTTCGGCCTGCAGCACGTTGGGGCAGGAGGGCACCCCCTTGGCCACCGCCACGCTCTCCTTGGCAGGG